CGTGACGACTTGAGATGCCTTGAGCGGGATAGGGACTGTCTCTTATACACATCTAGATGTGTATAAGAGACAGCACACACACACACACACACACACACACACACACACACACACACTCCACTTACTGCACCAAAGCTACACCACTTCTAATGACGCGTGCCGTATGAACGCAGATGTACCATGGTCACCTCAATAAACGAAAACTTTCCCTAGCTTTAATCAAAGCCAAAATGTTGCCGGCGGACGCGCCGACTCTATAGCATCAAACGAAAAATTTATCACACGCGCCTCAAAACTGCGCGCCCACACACACATTGCTTCCGTCAACCATTCAGTCCACGTGAACCAAACAGGACCGCAACCTCGCACGGATACTCAGATTATGAAAAAACCTTACCTTCTGTCACTTGCAAAAACCAGGGCGGATACCCTTGTAAGGGTCTTCGCGCCGACAACGGGAAGGCGAAACCAGCATCGCAGGCCGGAAACGGACAGCCAGCACCACCATGGGTCAAGTTCAACTTGACCGAGGCCGAGTACAAGTACCGCGGCCGTTACAGCTGCTGTTGCTGGTGCAACAGCACCAAGCACAAGACCTCCCTTTGCCACGATCAGGCCAAGGAGGATGTGCGGCCTCGTCTTAACTCGGGAAACTGAGTGTCGCGGGAGGTGAGGCGACTCCACCCCCCACTCCGCCAGATTCGGCCGCCTTGCTAGCGGCCTCCTACACATCTGGGGAGGATGCGAATGTCCTAAGTTCTCGGTATGCTTACGAGGACTATGCTGTCCACTTGGTCCCACCGCTGGACCAACCGCTCCACGTGCAACAATCTACTGCATGCACGGTTTCATCACCATCGGCAACCGACTCGGCAGCTTCGCCGCCATCTACCGCCGGGGATTCAACGTCATGGTCAAGACTTGAAGAGCTCGACCCATTGACATTGGCAGACTTCCAATGGATGCCCCTTCCCCGGTCCGGTCGATTGCCGAAATCACATTGCAACGTCTCAAGGCACAATTGCGGGATTACTTGCACACTGCAGTACCGACACCATTGATGGACGCCGGAGTAGAGGTTGTCGACCTTCACGCCTACATTGCGAAGATCGACCGCAAGTTCAACACGCAACGGTACGACGACATCGACGCACCATTGCTATATGTACGCATTCAGATCGGAGAGGCGACCTGCAGCGCTTTGATCCATTGCAGAGCATCTCGCAACTACATGAGTCAGGACTTCATGGTACGCGCCGGCCTTGGCCCATAAGTCCAAAGGAAGTCCCAGCCCACGCAAGTCACGTTGGCGGACGGTCACACACACAAGTCAATCGACCGGTGCATTGATGACACCCCAATGTACTTTGCCCCTCACGCAAGTGAGGCGGTGTCCTTTGACATTCTGGACACCAAATTCAACATGATCTTGGGCATGTCATGGCTGCGAAGCGAGGATCACCCGGTAAACTTCTACCGCCGCATCGTTCACGTTCGTGATTGGAACGGAGTACTAGTCCCATGCACGGTAGCTCCTCCTCACCCTTCAGTCAACTGTCACGTGGTATCCGCCGCAAGCATGCGCGCTTCCATCATCAGAGACGACATCGAGGAGATGGGGGTGTGTTTTCTCCACGCCCTCCCGCCCCATGACGCTTCACCGACGGACTCATCTTCGGATCCACACATCACCGAGCTTCTCGACGCCTACAGCGACGTGTTCGAAGGCCCGCACGGAGTAGTACCGGATCGGCCCATCCGCCACGAGATCATCCTCGAGGACGGGGCCGTACCTCCGCACGATTGAATCTACCGAATGAGCGAGGAAGAGTTAAGTGTGCTTCGGGCACAACTCGACGACCTTCTGGAGAAAGGCTGGATTCGGCCTAGCTCATCGCCATAAGGTGCGCCTGTTCTCTTCGTCCGGAAGAATAACAAGGATTTGTGGTTGTGCATCGATTATCGCAAGCTCAACGAGCAGACGATCAGAAACGTCGGCCCTCCCACGCATCGACTATGTTTTTTAGCGACTGGGCGGCGCCAAGTTCTTCTCCAAGCTCGATCTCAAGTCGGGATATCACCAACTCGAGATTCGGCAGGAGGACCGCTACAAAACCGCGTTTAAGACGCGATATGGGCATTTCGAATGGTTGGTTATGCCATTTGGCCTTACGAATGCCCCGGCCACTTTCCAAGCGGCTATGACAACAGAGTTCCGACACATGCTGGATCGATACGTACTTATCTACCGCGACGACATCCTGTTGTACAGCCGGACTTTGGACGAGCATGTGGAACACCTGCGCACCGTTTTGGAGCAGCTACAACAAGCCAAGTACAAGCCAACCGCGACAAATGCGAATTCGCGCGATAGGAGCTGGAGTACTTGGGACACTATGTGACGCCGCAAGGCATCCGTCCACTTGCGGACAAGATCGAGGCCCTACGAGTATGGCCCGAGCCCACCAACACCACGGACGTTCGTTCATTCATGGGGTTGGCGGGCTACTATCAGCGATTCATCACCGGATACTCGAGGATTGCTACACCTATGACGAGATTAAAATCGCCAAAGGTGCCATTCGTATTCGATGACGACGCACGCCGGTCATTCCAAGCACTTAAGACGGCTATGCTCATGGCACCCGTCCTTAGCATCTATGACCCCACCCTGCCTATGAGAGTGGCGGCTGATGCTTCTGGCTATGGCATTGGGGCAGTCTTGGAACAGCACGACGGCGACGACTGGCACCCTATGGAGTATTTCAGCCACAAAGTGCCTCCCATCAACTCGCTTGATGATGCAAGGAAGAAGGAGCTGCTCGCATTCGTCATGGCTCTCAAGCGATGGCGGCACTTCCTCCTTAGGCGTTGTAGGTTCACATGGGTTACGAACAACAATCCATTGACCTACTACAGGACGCATGATACGGTGAGAAGCACGATCGGACGATGGATGTACCTCATCGACCAATTTGACTTCACACCGAAACATCTTCCCGGCCTCTCCAATCGCGCAGCAGATGCACTCTCGCGAAGACCTGATCTTTGCGCTATGACACATCATGCCTTCGCATTCGACGAGGAGCTCCAGCGACACTTCATCAGGGGCTATGAGTCCGATCCAGACTTTGCCACGCTATATGCGCAGCTATCTTCGGATCACCCGCCGGCCAGCCACTATCGCATCGCCGATGGGTACTTGCTCCTACACTCGCGGGGCAAGGACTTACTATGTGTCCCACGCGACCGCCGTCTTCGGACTCGCCTCCTCGGCGAGTATCATGATTCGCGACTCGTCGGCCATTTCGGAGTCAACCGCACTATTGCACGGCTTCGACAGCGATTCCGATGGCCCAACCTCATCACCGATGTAACGAGGTGTTGCGACTCTTGCGAAGTTTGTCGACGAAGCAAACCCCGCAACCGCAACCCCTACGGCGAGCTGCGCCCGATGCCGATCCCGCAGGAACCCGGTCTCTCCACTCCCATGGATGTCACCAGACCATGGACATGACGACATCCTCACGGTCGTAGACCGATTGAGTAAGTACTCGCGTTTTCTCCCTTGCAAGTACTACTCCACGGCTCCCGAGCTGGCACGCCTCCTGCACACCGGCTGGATTTGCAGCCATGGTGTACCGGAAGACATAGTCAGCGACCGCGACACTCGCTTCATGTCGACATTTTTCACTGCTCTCATGCAGGAGTCCGGCACGAAGATGAAGCCAAGTTCGGCTCGGCATCCACAGACAGACAGGCAGACGGAGCGGGCACATCAAACCGCTCAAATGATGCTTCGTACGCTCATCCGTCCGGACCAGAAAGATTGGGTTGACCGCCTCCCCGACATCGAGTTCCCCTACAAAACTTCGATGCACCCGGCGATCGGCGTGACTCCATTCGAGTTGCACCACGGTGGACAGAAAGGCCGTATCTTCGCCAACCTTCTCCTCCCACAACCAGCCGACATCGATGCCGCTTGTTCTCCCGCTTCCGTCCGGAAGTACAGAGAATTGCTGGCTCAAGCCTGCGCGAATATGCAAAAGGCTCAAGTCCACATGCAGCAGCAAGCCAACAGGCATCGCGTGCCATGTCCCATCTACGCCGGCGACCTGGTTTGGGTTTCCGCGGAAGAGTTTGCACTGGAACAGGATGTCTCACGCAAACTGCTTCCCAAGTGGTTTGGACCATGGCCCGTAACATCAGTCGCGGGCGATGAGCCCGAGGGCCCTTCATTTGTGATCAACATCCCCCCGCATCTGACGGTCCATCCAGTCTTTTACGCCTCAAAGCTGGCAACATACACGCCAGCTAAGAGCGAAAACTTTCTGGGCCGACGATCGCAGGACCCTCCTATGGATGGTCATCAGGAAGTTGACCGTGTCATCACCGATCGCAAGTACGGCAGCAAGCCGCGACAGTACAAAGTTACATTCAAAGCCTGCGATCGCGACAACACTCGGTGGATTTCAGGAGCAGATTTGAAAGCATCCGCACCGCTGATCTACGCGCATTATGAGAAGCAAAGGTTAGCTCAGGAAGCTTTACGACCAGCCCCTCCCACCCGAACTGTGGTCCCTCCCTCAGACAGACAGCTTCGCCGTCGCAGGTAAGCTCGGTCGTTCAAGGAGGGGGGGGGGTGGCATACTGCGTAGCCACACGGGCCCTACAGGGCCCGTCCCGCACTTTCAGCCTAAAAGCCTAGAAAATAGGGCTTACAGGCCCCGGTCGTTTCAGCCTGAAATTGAAAAACGAGGGCCTGCAGGCCCTATTCCGTTTTCAGCCTATTTCTGTGCCTGAGGCTTTTCAGTCTGAAACGGAGGGCCATTTTCAAGCCCTCATTGTGTTCGACCTACCTAAGACTCGGGCACAAAAACAGGGTTTCGGGAACAGGCTATTTCTGGCCTGTTCCCCACGACAGCAATCAGGAGCTGCAGCTGCAGCCCCTGCCTCCCTTCAGCATCGGCAAGAGCAGCCTCCTAGACCGCCTCGCCTGCAGTCAGGAGGCACCCGGTAGTACATAGGAAGTTCCAATGCACTTCACGGGGAGGTAGTTGGACAGTAGGACGGTAGCCTTCAGGATTCGGCCGCAACACTCAGGAGGAGCGCTGCAATAGTCTTCAGCGCTAGTAGTAGTCTTCAGCGTTGGGCGCCATAGCTGTAGGTGTAGTCTTCAGCGCTGGGCGCTAGTAGGTGGTAGTGGTAGCAGTGGAGGGAGATGGTTGGCGGAGGCCAGCGGTACTTACTTGTGGCGCCATAGCTCCAGCTCCATCTTCRAGGTACCTGCATCAAGGCGCCAACTTCACAGGTTAGTACTAGACACAGAGAGAGAGAGTTCTTCTTCTTCCTCTTCTAAGTCCACCATCTCTTCTCACCCTCTCACCACCTGACTTCTCAGACTACGACAGAGAGAGAGAGAGTTGTGACTTGAGACTTGACGACATTGGATCCAGACTCGACATTTGGGATTCAGACATTTTGACGAGGGATTATTTGGGCCTGTGCCGAAGACTTGGTGTTGACGACATTCCCATCTTCCCCTCCTCTTCGTCTAACCCCCTTCCTCTTCGTCTGTGTATGGTTGGGGCTGGCGCAGTCTTCCTATGTGAAGCGCCAGACCCCATTCACACCATGTAACGATGATGATGATGTATGTTCAGGGCTGCATTGCAATATTAATTGTTCGGATCATTGGTATCTAAGTCTTCCGCTACGCTATCTTGTACTTCGTATTGAGAGGTCGGTTCTTGTTCTGGTCTGCAAAGTTACAGTATGCAACACTTGGACTCCTACTCGACAGGTCTACAGATCAAACCCCTGCGACCTATAGACCCTACCACAGTCAACCGACTGTTACAAATACACAGGTCACGGGTTCAACTCTAGGGGCCGACACAGATACTGTACACAGGTAAGGTGGGGGCTAGGGATCGAACCCTGGGATCTGCATCAGCTACTGCGAGCTGGTGAATACCGTTTCACTCCCGCCGGCCTAAATTCGAGGTCCTCCGAGTACACAATCAATGACTTCTACAATTTCTTGAAGGTTGGGGTACAGTCTTTGTCCCAATTCCAAATTGTCTCCTTCCTCAGCAGTTTACACAGTGGTGCAGCGATCATTGTGAAGTTGCGTATGAACTTTCGGTAGTAATTGGCTAATCCTAAGAATGACCGCAGCTCGGTCCATATGTGTCGTGTTGGCCAATCCTTGATTGTTGCTATCTTCGTGTCTTCCGATCTGACTCCATCTCCATCTAACACGTGGCCTAAATATAGCACTTTATGCTTCGCCCATACACATTTCTTCTGGTTCACCTTGAACTTCACAGTGCACAACTTTTCTAAGATCAGACACAAATGTTGTTGGTGTTCCGCTAGAGTCTTACTAAATATGAGAACATCGTTTAAGTAAAGGACTACAAATTTATCTAGCCATTCACGAAAGAGATCATTCACACATCTTTGGAAGGTAGCAGGTGCATTCGTCAAACCAAACGGCATGACCACAAATTCATAGTGGCCATAGCGAGTTCTAAAAGTCGTCTTGTGCTGCTCTTAGGGTTGTACCTCTCTCTGATGGTAGCCCAACTTCAAGTCAATCTTGGAAAAATACTTCCATCCCTACACCCTATCCAGCGGATCATCTATGCAAGGCAATGGTTCCATGTTCCTTACTGCAATCGCGTTTAAACCCCTCTAGTCAATGCACATTCGCAGTTCACCCTCCTTCTTCGACATGAGTAAGACCAGTGCGCCATACAGCGATGAACTGGGCTTAATCCACCCCTTCTCTATCAATTCATCAAGCTGCTTGCGCAGCTCATCGAGCTATTTGGGAGACCTTTGGAAGATGGGTCCCTTGGGAGTTTTGCTACTTGGCTCTATCTCTACCTGGTACTTGATTTCCCTTTCCCCACTACTCCTCTCAGGATCTCTCCCACATCGGCGAACTCTTTCAGCAGTTTTTCAATTGTGGGTGGTGTTGGGTCCTCCTCCTCCTTGTCTTCACTACTCAGTCTAATTTACACTACGAAGACTTGGTCAACCAAGTCGGCCTTGACCACGTGCCTGGCGAAAGCAGGGGCACTCATACAACAAAGGGACAGACTGGACTCTACTCCGGACTCATGAAACAACCACATTTGCTTTTTGACTCCTTCCGGGTTGGGCAGCCAGCATTCATGCTCGCTCATCTTCATATCAACTCTCGCAACCTCTCCCCAATCCGTCCCTAAAATGAGGTAAAAAGGTAGGTTGTCCTCCACTAAGAGAGTCAAGGAGTGCAAAACTCTCTCTACCTTGTTCCCCCTCTCCAACAGAAAGTATACCTTTACCCCTTCGACGTACTCTTCGAGTCTCATTTCGCGATTGTCTGCCAGCCTGCTCATGACCGGCTCGTCCAATTTCATAATCTTCATGTCGAGGTGCATCTTCTGCAATCCCCTTCGGCTAATGTAGTTGCGCGTGGATCCACTATCAATTAACGCGCCTACTCGTTCTCTATGAATTTCTACATCTGCTAAAATTAGTTGCCTTTACTCTTCTTCTTCATTTTCGTCCCAAGCTTGGCGACAAGTGATCAGCTCATCATTGATGCCTGCAAGGGAACCACCCAGAGAGACCCTAGCACAAGCGGTCTTTGGATAGTTGACTGGGTGGGGGCCTACATCAGTCTTTGCCATAGGGGCCTTCAAACACGAGGGTGTCTGTTCATCACGCACTTCTGTCTGTCTGTCTCTGTCTGGAGGCCCAGCACGAGCGACTGCGACTCCTACTGGCTGGCTCCCTTTTGGGTAGTGGTAGTCAGGGCAAAAGCAGACAATGTGGTTGGGATCACGGTCCAATCACCACACTTCAGGCACTGGCCGACCTTAAGCTTTTGCTCCCACAATGTTTTCTCGGTGCCCATCTCTTTCCATGGCTCTTCGTCGCAATCCTTGGATGTGCTAACCATGGTCTGCGTCCCCTACCTTTTCCGCCTGTGAAGGAGCAACCGCATCCACCTGGTCGAGAACCATAACCCCTACCTCCCGCGTAATAGCTACCTTCGCTACTACTCCCCTTGGTGCCACGTCCTCTTCCTCCACCTCTTTCTCGACCTCCTCTTCCTCCTTGTTGCCCTCCCCCACGGGCTGGAGCAGCCGAATAGTCCCCTTCCTAAGCTACTTGGTTGCTGTTAAGCTCTTCCAGTCCGTAATCTATGTTTTCATAAGGTAGTTCCTCGACTCCTCCGCCCTCGAATGTGACTACAAGACTATCCTTTCCTTCTATGCTACTGGATATCGTCTTGTTCTTCCTGCAACCTCGTTTTTTTAAGTCCTTCCAATAATGGCAATAGTTTGCCTCTTGGAGGAAACCGGCTTGGTCTAAGGCCATCTTTCTAAATTTTTCGTATGTCATGCACTCTTTGTTGGTTTGGGCATATAGTTAGGATTGATGGGGTTGGGGAAGAGGTCGTGCAAAGTTGTTCAAGATCTGCTTTGGAGTGAGACCATGCTCGGGGTACTGCAAGCGCTCATTCATAGTCGCCTTTAGTGCCGACATGTTGTCGGTGCGAATACCCTTACAAGGGTATCCGCCCTGGTTTTTGCAAGTAACAGAAAATAAGTTCGATTCAAAATTTAGGTGTAACGCGCGAGGCGCGGCGGTGTTTATGGTTTACGTTAGGTTGAATGGTTGACTAGAGCAGAGAGTGTGTGGGCGCGCAGACTTGAGGCGTGCGTGATATTTTTCCTTTTGAGGATTGTGAAAATTGGCGTTGGTCGCCGGCCAAATTCTTATTCTTATGATTAAACTAGGTTTAAAAGATTATGTCTCTTAAGTGGTGCGCTTGCCTGTGACCTGTGGATATGTGCGGAGGACGGCATCGACAACAAAGTGATTTTGAAAACGCTTCGAGAGATCTACGCGTCGCGCAGTATCTGTCTATTTAGGTGTCCGTCAAAGATAGACCCAGACTTGGGCCCAACACTATTGGTTGTAGAGTCGGACTTTCATCAGAGAGATTCAAGGATCGAGATCGAGCGGCGACGACGCGGGATAACAGAGTAGCGCGAAGGGACCGAGGGGTTGAGGGCCCGACAGGGCTATCCCCCTTGGTTTTGTCATCCGCGGAGTGGGAACGATACTAGCGGTTCCTTTTTCCTAGTTTGACGTGTTCTGATGATTGAAAATTTCTACATATTTTTTTTTGTATTATTACTATTTTGCTCTGGTGCTCCTTGCACGACGTTGGACTTGGGGGTCGTCACGGCGGTCGAGGACCTTGAGTGTGCGCCTCCTATGTTTGACCTGTGGGTTCCTCACATATTCGGGATGTTGGTGAGGATCCTTGGCCCCGCCTTTTTTTTGGACGCGGGCCGGGGAAGTCGTCGTGCATGCTAGGCGGGGGGGGGTGTGGTTAGCCCACGAAGCGAAAGAAACCTGAATGGCGGGGGTTGCTACGGGTGCACCGTCGGCCAGCCGCGATCGACCGAGAGAGTTCGAATGTGTGTGTGTCGTCGGGGCCCGTAAGTTGGTGGATCATGCCCGGGCGCAGTGGTGTGAAAGCGGCCTGGGGCGCTGTTTGGAGACCACAGCGTTGCCACGCCAAGCTGCGGATCTCGGGGAACCCCTTTCCACTTCGGTGTTCAAAGTTCTCAATTGTATATCTGCTGCTACCAAAA